TGTAGACTTTATCCCATGACTATGGAGAGTCATTATTATAGGATTTTAGGCAGGAGATGACATGATGACATAAGCAGATTTACATTTTAGAGAGGACATTATGGCAGAAGCATTGAGAATAGATTGGAGGAAGGTCATATAGGAGATAGCAATCACTTAGGTAGCCATTGCAGTAAAACAGGTGAGAAACGAAGGCCTGAATTAAGGTATTTACAGTTGGACTGGAGAAAACCACTTGAATCAGAAAGATTTAAAGAAGCAGAGATCCATAAGGTTTGCTGACGCATTGGATATCAAAGGTGAGGAAGAGGAAGGAGTCAGGAGGAGGTCTGGGTTTTTGGCTTGAGCAGCTGGACAGACAGTGAAGCTATTTACAGGGAGAGGGACATAAAAAGAGGAGTTCCATTTTGAAAACTTTCAGTGTGAGATGCCTGTGAGACACCTAGATAAAGAGGTCCAAGAGTCAGTAGTACATATAGGTCTGGAACTCAGGAGAGAAATCTGGCTGGAGATAGAAACTTGGAAGCCATCATTAGGAATAAAGTGATTGCAACCTCAAGAGGAGATGAGATTGAGCAGGAAGAAGGTGTAGTACAGTGGTTCTCGTCCTTGGCTGTGCCTTAGAACCACCTGGGGGAACTTCTTAAATTCTGCATTTAAGAAGCCACATAGCTTGGGTCACACCACAGACCTATAAAATTAGAATGTTGGGAATGGGATCCAGGCATCCATGTTCTTTAGAACTCTCCAAATTGATAGAGTGGCATCCAGAGTAGACAAGCATTTGGCAGGCAGAAATGAGAATAGGTCTCATTAAAGGTGTCAAAAAGGGAGGAGAAACTCATGAGGGAGCCTAAGAAGTTCCTTGATGATAAGAGAACCTGGAGAGAAAAGGGATTATGGGTGTTCTGGGTGGAGAGGTCAAGAAGAAAAGAGTGAGACCCCTCTCTACATAATCTTCAGTCACTTCCTAAAATGTCCCTTACCTAAACTGTTTGCTATTTCCATCATTTAACTTCATAAGATAGCCATCTGTGTCTCTACTCAAACTATTCCCATACCCAGGAACCCTGCCCTTTTCCAGGATGCCAATCCACATCCATTCCATATTTAGGACTTGGCTCAAAGCTTGTCCTCCTAAGAATATCTGGTTACTTTGACGAGATTCTGATTACTCCTATTTAGGTAGTCCCTTATGTATGTAGTTGCTTGCTAAAGATGGCCCTGCTGTGGAGCAGTGCCAAGAGTCCAGGACTTAGACTCTGAAGATCTGGGTTCAAATTCTGACTCTGTACAAGTTAATTAGCTGGACCCTGTTGGAGAAGTTATTAAAGCTCACCACTTTCTTTACCTGTAAGGTCTACATGGCTATAACTACTTTGAAGAGTTGATAAAAGATTTGCGTGTGAGACTATAAAAAAACTATACATGCGGTATGGCATAGGGTGGTATTATTAAGTTTTACATTTGTCCATAGGTTGCTGTGCAAGCATCCCAAAGTGTGTGTGTGTGTGTGTGTGTGTGTGTGTGTGTTTGATTTTTAACTGGATTCTAAACTTGAAGACAGAAACTGTGTTTTGTTTCTTTTCGAACCCCCTTTTAGCTTTGGGGGCTCATGGGGTTAACCAAGTGCAGCAGCCTTAAGGATGTTGCTCCCAGGGGACAGGACTTCTGGATCTTTGAGCAGGACCAAGTGTCAGATGTCAGATGACAGCCTGAACTTCTATGTCATTTGAATCAGTATCACCTAGTCTAGATCTGTAGGCTGCAGACACATAGGGGAAAAATCCTAGGTATGTGCAGTAAATGGAAAAGGCTTGAGGCAAAACCATCTGATGACTCTGCAGATTGCTCTGAGGAAAATCCAAAACCCTCAAGCCTACCAAGCCCTGCATGGCTGTGAATCTGCAGAGAGACCTCTCTGACCTCGTCTCCTGTGACTCACCCCCTTGCTCATTGGTATCCACTCACCTCTACTATTTCCTGAGTACATGGCTTTAGAGCCTTTGCAGGTGCTATTCCTTCTCCTGAAATGCTCTTCTTTGGATGTTCATTGGTTTCTTTCCCTTATCTTCTTTGGGTCTTTGTTCCAATGTTACTTTCTCAGGAGACCCACCCTGACAACGTTATTTCATTTTCGTGACCCTCAGCATTTATCTTCCTTCACTGATATTTTTTCCCCTGTAGCACCTGTTATGATCTGATATGTATTCTACTTATTCCCTCTTGTCTTTCCATTAGGATGTAAACTCTACAAGGACCATGTTTTTTGTCTATGTTTTTTAAACTACTATATCCTTGGTGCCTAGATCTTGAAACACATAGTAGGCATTCATTCTCAACAGCCTTTGTAATTTTCTGGTTCTGAAGACACAGGGAATCCAGTGATCAGTAGATGGCGCTAGAGCTCCATATGATCTTTCCTCCAGTTGGCTTCCAAGGTGTTTTTCAGCCTCTGGAATATTTACTGTGCTAAATAAATAGGCCTGGTTGATTCATCTAGACATTTAGTTATACAACCATAGCGTTATGACGTGAAGGAGACATTATAGGTTGCATTGTGCTAACTCCTCATTTTAAGGATGAGAAAACTGGAGCACAGTAAGGGGTCAAAAATTACCTAAAGTCATATGTGGCATTAGCAGCAGAGCCAGGACAAGAACTCCTTTCCTGACCCCCCTCCCTCTCTTAAACTGTTGCTATATGTTTAGCTGTTTTCTTAACATACTTTCCACTCGAAAATACAAGTTGCTTGTATACAAAATACAGTAAGAGATTGTATTTTGACAGTAAATATTCAGTCAATAAATATTCCATTCAAATTAGGCTCTGACTGCTTGAGTAAGTCTCATAGTAAATTAGTCAGTAATAATGGCTGTAAATCCACTTGTGCTGGGTTCTCAAAGGAATAGGAGACTTATCAGATTCTTAATGATCTTATTGCTTCTATGGAAAGGATGCACGACATAATTGAAGCAACAGGAGAACACTTGTTTCTGCTGCTATCAGAAGGCAGAATGCACACTGGGAAATCTGAACATATGGAGCTCAACAGAGCACTGAGGGAGGATTAAAGGAGATAAATTTGGAACTGGCCTTTCAAGAGTCAGATGCCATAAATTTCTACACTGAGGACCAATTCCAAACTGTACAGCAAGCCATGCTATGAGACATTCATATTAAGCCTTGGGGTATTTTATCACATTCATGATACTTGATACAGAATACATTGGACCAAGAGCAGCCACTAGTTTTGATGCAGAGGGTGTAGTGGCAAACAAGAGAAACAAAATCCTTGTTGCTGTGGACCTTAAGCTCCAGTAGGGGGCAGAAGACAATGAACAAGTAACAAAACAAGATATCAAATATGAAAAATGCTAAGAACAATAAACAAGAAGAGGAGTATGTGTGAGAGAGTGATTGTGGCATAATCTTAGATTAAATGTTAGAGAAGCTTCTCTGAGGAGATGACTTTTTAGCTGAGACCTCAATGAAATAAGGAGCTAGCTACAAAAAGATCAGGGAGAAGAATATTCCAGGCAGAAGAAATAGCTGTTTCAAGGCCTCAAGATGGTAAACAGTGACTGAAGAGAAGAGGTACAAGATGAGGTCTGGCAGGGCGCCATCCTAGGAAGGCCCTGGGGAGAATGTTAAATTTTATACTTAGTATGGTGGAAAACTACCAAGCATTTTAAGCAGGGAAATATGTGTCCTGACCCAGGGTTGAACCTGCAACCTTGGCATATCAGGACGTAGGGAAGTGACATGATGTGTAAAATTGCAAAAGAGTAGAGAGTCCCATCAGGAAGCTATGGCTGCATTTAAGAGAGAGATGTGGTGATGGGGATGATAGGAGCAAAGGTGACAAGAATGATGGAGTTGAGCTATCCTGTACTTTAATAGAAACAATAGGTCTTGCTAATGAGTTTGTTTTGGGGGAGAGAATGATTACAATAAAGAATATCTCCTAGGTTTTTGATTGAGCAATGTGGATGATGCTACTAACTTACTGAAATGGAGGAAATTGAGGGAGAAACAGGTTAAGTCAAGAGCTCTGTTTGAGAATGTGAAGATTGAGATATTATTTCATGTCCAAATGAAATGCCAAGTAGATAAGTAGATATATGAGTCTGGAGTTTAGGAAAGAGGTAGGGTTGGAGATGAAGATTTGAGAATCTTAGAAATAGTGATGAAAGTTAAAGTCACAGGACTGGATAAGATTACCTGTGGTTAGAAAAGAGGAGAAGGCAGCTGAGGAGTGATTCCCAAGAGGAAGAAAGTTGGGCTGCAGTGAAATAAAGATCAGTTTTCTGTAAGGAAATGATGTCTTTCTGATTTAGTATATTTGGAGGAAGCCTCATAGTATGTTTCTCAGAGTTTGGGAATAGAGACAGCACTTAAGAGTAATGGCCTTCTGTTTGGACTTTTCAGTTGAGGAAATTTGGAATGTTGTTCTGTGGCTCAGATTCAGAGATCTGCTCCTCCGCCCCCCTGCCCTTCCCCTCCCAGCTGCAGAGACCACTTCTGGTCAGCCTGTGTCCCATTAGGACGCTCCCCTCCCTCCTTTCACACCCTTCTTGAGGGTGGACTCCCCACTTTCTGGTCATTGGCTTTTGACCTTAGAGCTGATGTGTTAACTTTATCCTCAAGTCACATTGAGTCACTGAAGAGAAGGGAGATTAAGGCAGTGGAAATGGAGAAATGGGAAGAGATTCAAGAGGTATGAAGGATACAGAATTGGCATGACTTAATGATCATTTGCATGTGTAAGTGAATAAGGGGGAGGAGTCAAATTTGACTTCTCTGCAGGGGAAGGAGCTGTAAATGATATCTAGGTAAGTTGCCTTTGACTCCTTTTTCTTTGTTTCCTATTGATTTTTATAGGAACTCAAAGAACAAAGTGATCTTAGGAGTCAAGAAATGATGCCTTGTTCTTGGAAAATGACCCACAAGTGAAGACAGCATAGCCCCACAGTGAAGAAGAAAAAAGAGTCATCAAGGTCATTGCTCACCAATCATTTATTGGGCATTTAAATACAATTCCATAGATTTTCTTCTGAAGGGTTTTCAGGCCCCAGTATCTTTGGGTCAACAATTTTGGTTCGTTAGGATCTGAAAACAGATGACATTTGCTTCCTCTCTATTTAATATGATCAGAAACTAGAAAGACATTGAGCTAAAACCAGTCTAGTCAGCTTTAGTGCTAGGAGCCAGGACAGTCCCTCTGATGAAGGGTAGAAGCCTGGGCGCTGGAGGTGTTGTGAATCAGAGGTGTCCTCTGTGGTCTCTGACTCTCCTAGCAGGCTCTCACTGTGTTTCATTTAAGTGTAGACTATGAGGCTTGAAATTCCTGATGTTTCATCCAAGGGGGCCAAAGCTCACTGAAGCCCAGATTGCCTCTTCTCAGTTTGTGATGGGTATCTTCTGAATACCTTTCCTGTTTCTGAATTTTGGCAGAAGTTTCGACCTTTCAGTGACCCAACCATGCCCTATGTACATGGAGGGCAAACCAGGAAATGATTTAAATCCCCAAGTTAATCAAAATTGGGATCTGATTATTTCACCCAATTTACCACTCAGATTTCACCCCGCCAGAACACCCTGGATTTGCTGCTCAAAGAACTGACATGCCCTAAAAGTAAATGCTAATCCTCAAAAGCATCCTTGCAAGTAGATAGAAAGTAGAGGAGAGAAGGAAGACATACATTTTCAATCTCTTAAACAGAAGTAAATATGAACTTGATCTGTAGATTTCTTCTTTGGCAGTAGCTCCGTTGTGCAATAAGGCCTAGTGCCAATGCTCTCTCTGCTCTTGGAGATAGTCGTAGAGGGGGTTGGGAGCAATTGCTGCCTTGGTAGGGTGACTTCCACCCTCTTCTCTTCTTTGGGGCCTCCCCCTGCTCTGGGTTGGATGGAAGGCCAGGTCACTGTGTCTTCCCTGGGAGCCTTGGCTCTGGTCATCCTCATTCATGTGGAATTTTTCTCTGTTAGCACTGCCTCGCTGGGTTCCATGGGATTGTCGGTCCTGGGACCCTTGATATTTCTCTTTCTTCTCATGGGTTTGCTGACGGTTTTGATCTTCTTCATGAGGTTGCCTGTCTTGTCTCTGATGCTTCTGCTCATCTTCATGGGTTTGCCTGCCCCGTGTCTCACATGGAGTTTCCTGACCCTCATGACCATGTCTACCCCTGATTTGGTGACCCTTCTCTTCCTCTACCTGGTGGCTCTGTCTCTCACCATGACTCTCCTTAGTCTGGGCCTCTCTGTGTCCCTGCCTATCACTCCCTTTGTGAGAGTGTGGCCTTTCTTGCTGAATTTGTGCTACAAGTTTGTGTTGGTGGTGTTGGCAATCCTCCTCAGGCTCCCATGCCTGGTGACTGTTCTGCTGCTCTAGCCTAGACTGAAATCTCTGTCCCTGATTTTGGTTCACTTTTTGTCCTTGAGTCTGTTGACTGGGTCTCCCTGAACTTTCTGATTGCTCAACATTTGAACCTCTGCTTGTTCGCTCATTCCCTTGGAAGCACCTATTTTGCCCTGTTTCCCCAGGTTCTGACTGACTGCATTGAGAACTCAGGCCTTGCCTGTCTGCCTGTCCATAGTGGGAACTCTGGCCTTGTCTGTCTGCCTGACCATAGTGAGAACTCTGGCCTTGCCTATCTGCTTGACCATAGTGGGAACTCTGGCCTTGTCTGTCTGCCTGACCATAGTGGGAACTCTGGCCTTGTCTGTCTGCCTGACCATAGTGGGAACTCTGGCTTTGTCTGTCTGTCTGTCCATAGTGGGAACTCTGGCCTTGTCTGCCTGCCTGATCATAGTGGGAACTCTGGCCTTGTCTGTCTGCCTGTCCATAGTGAGAACTCTGGCCTTGTCTGCCTGTCTGTCCATAGTTGGAACTCTGGCCTTGTCTGCCTGCCTGACCATAGTTGGAACTCTGGCCTTGTCTGTCTGCCTGACCATAGTGAGAACTCTGGCCTTGCCTGTCTGCCTGACCATAGTGGGAACTTTGGCCTTGTCTGTCTGCCTGACCATAGTTGGAACTCTGGCCTTGTCTGTCTGCCTGTCCATAGTGAGAACTCTGGCCTTGTCTGCCTGTCTGTCCATAGTTGGAACTTTGGCTTTGTCTGCCTGCCTGACCATAGTTGGAACTCTGGCCTTGTCTATCTGCCTGACCAGAGTGAGTACTCTGGCCTTGCCTGTCTGCCTGACCATAGTGGGAACTCTGGCCTTGTCTGTCTGCCTGACCATAGTGAGAACTCTGGCCTTGTCTGTCTGCCTGTCCATAGTGGGAATGCTGGCCTTGTCTGTATGTCTGGCCATATTGAGAATCAAATTCTTGCCTGTCTCTCTGATGATAGCCTAATTCCTGACCCAGCCTTGCAGAATGCCCATAATAAGAGCCTGATTCCTGTTGGTTTCTTTGGCTACAGCATGAATCCTCTCTAAGTCTTATAGGCTGGCTTTGTTGTTGTCTAACTCCTTCAGACCAGCCATCATGAGAATCCTGAACTTGTGTCTCATATTGATTTAAAGCAAATAAATATCCTTCTCTTTTAGTCTGGTCACTGCTAGATTTATGATTCAGTCTTTGATCAGAGCTCAAGTCCTGACCTTGCCTCTCAGACCGACTATAGCAGGAGTTCCTATCTTGTGTCTCAGACTGACCATGGTGGGAGTCCTGACCCTGTCTCTCAGACTGACCATGGTGGGAGTCCTGACCCTGTCTCTCAGACTGACCATGGTGGGAGTCCTGACTCTGTTTCTCAGACTGACCACGGTGGGAGTCCTGACTCTGTTTCTCAGACTGACTATGGTGGGAATCCTGACTCTGTTTCTCAGACTGACCATGGTGGGAGTCCTGACCCTGTCTCTCAGACTGGCCATGGTGGGAGTCCTGATACTGTTTCTCAGACTGACCATGGTGGGAGTCCTGACCCTGTCTCTCAGACTGGCCATGGTGGGAGTCCTGATACTGTTTCTCAGACTGACCACGGTGGGAGTCCTGACCCTGTCTCCCAGACTGGCCATGGTGGGAGTCCTGATACTGTTTCTCAGACTGACCATGGTGGGAGTCCTGACCCTGTCTCTCAGACTGACGGTGGTGGGAGTCCTGCCTTGCTTCCTCATGCCTCTGCCTATGTTGTCTGCCTGTATTTCCTGGAAAGCTGTGGTCTTGTGTTCCCTCCTGCTCCCCTTCTTGCTGGGAGGTTCTATCTCCACATGCCTTATTTTCTTCCTTATTATAGCAAGCTTGGACCAACTGGAACACCAGCAAGAGATATTCACGAAAATCAACATGTCCATTTCTGTCTTTATCCAAGAGGTTCAGAATGGTTTCCACAGTCTCTGGGTCATTTGGTCTCTGTGGGAAGAAAAAAAAAGAGAAAAATCAGATGTTTTCTTGTGGACACTAAGATATGTGCCTAGGTTCATGCCCCAGTCCATTTAGTTTGAATGAGCCTCCCTTGTGTGAGAAGTCATTAATTTGAAGTGGCGTAGGCTTGGTTTTCATCTTTGATCAGCTGGTTCTTAGACCCTCATCCCTTCCTGACTCATTGGAGGGAGCAGGACTATGGGGAGTAGAGATATACTTATTTAAAATCAGCTCCCTTCATAATGAATTTGGGGAAGCTGTCCCACCCCATCACCTGATAGTTGTTTGTTTATCAACATTTTTCCAGCCACAGTGTGAGTTCCTGGAGGGAGTAAAAGCTGGCTTTATCTATGTTTGTATCCTCAGTGGCTAGTATGGCGCTGGTGTGGAGTAGGTGCTTAATGATTCTTTATTGAATGAATGAATGAGAAAATGTGTGGGCAGCATTAAAATATAGAAACTAAGACATTAATGTAGATTTCTTCTGAGAAATGATTTCCAGTTCAAAGTTCTACTTCCTCCTGTTCGAGCTCAGATGCAAGGAGATGTGTGTGTGTGTGTGTGTGTGTGTGTGTGTGTGTGTGTGTCTGAGCATGCCTGTGCACACATGCCTGTGTGCTGGGAGCAAGCTATTAAGGAGCTACCTGTAACTCTCTTAGTTCCAGGGTGGAGCATGACCAAAGAAAACAAAAACTAAGCCCTGGATGCAGGTTTCAGAGTCACACACACGTGACTCCATGGGATCCGGACTCTATGCATCTTACCCGGAGGATGTTTCCAAACTCAGCCAAGAGCAGCTGCTTCAATTCCGTCTTGCACAGCAGCGCACAGTCCCCGTCCTCTTTCGCATATTTCTGGAACACCTTGATCACGGTGAGTATGCTGTTCAGGAGTGGAGCCATTTTGGAAAAGACAGGTAAACCTAAAAGAAGAAACAAGATTTTGTCTGTGTTTAGGATGAAGCCCAGGAGACAGCATTTTCAGAGGGAAAGTGGCCCCTCTTGGTCAGGGACAGAGCTTCTCCTTAGCCACACCCCTGACCCCCTTTGACCCATAGTCTGGCTCCAAATATCACACAGTGGGAGATGAGCGCAGACTATGGGTTCCCTGCTAGAAAAAAATGGCTATTTCCTAAAAACAACAACAAAAAATACAGTAGGTGTTTTACATGCCCCATCTTCTACTCCAGATGGGACTTGCTTAATTGAAATTCTCATATTAGAACAAAAGGGAAAGATGGTTAGGAAGCTATAAGGCAGGACCAAAGCCAGTGTCATGAAGCAGAATTTTCCACCAATGACTAGCATGCTGAACGGGGCACTACATTGACCCCACTGCAGGCCACAGTCTTCTAATGAGCCTTGCTCAAGTGGGGAAGAAGGCTAGAGGTCTCTCGCCATGGCCAAGGAAACTTTCTGGGAGACTAAATTCCAGTAAGTGCTTCTGGCCTGGATGATCACTTTGGATATGATTATAAAATAGAATCAGTGAATACAAAACTTCTACAGATGAAATAGCAAGCCAAATTAACTGTATAGATGATGGGAAGTCTGATACAATCAGAGAAGTTCACATTGGCCATGCTAAGAGGCAGAGGGTCTTTGGGGATCTGGATCTCAAAGCTATTTCTTCTTACATTGTGAAAATCCCAGTTACTGGGCTTATAGGTCTCCAAACAGAAACCCTAACTGCAAAGCACATTGACCTTCCAATAGTATGCAATGATGCCTGTACGGATAAGTGGCAAATAACAAATTGCATGGGACTGAGTCCCTAGTGTCGATTCATTACAATGAGACTTGAATATTAAGTGGCCCATGGTCCAGGGCCTTGCCCCTGATGAGCTCTAAACTCTTGGGTCTTGCCTAACTTGCACAAAAGGCAAATGCTCCACTAGGGGAGACTAGCAAACCACCAATAGTTCTAGCCCTTGATTTTGGAATACCTAGGACACACTGTAAAAAAAGCATATATTTTTTACAGCTTCAGAAGTAGGCAATCCTAGCTATGATCATATTCTCAGATAGAGCCAAGAAAATGAAGCAGGAGGGTACCCACGGCTATCACCTTCAGAGAGCAGTCTCAGACCTCTCCAGCCCAGCACATCACAGCCACCATCAAGAGCCTCATGGATACTGCCATTGCGCCCCCATGCATGTCTTACCTGTGTAAGGAGGAATGAGCAGATGATTGAGAAGCTGAAGAGGATATTGGAGGCCTGAAAACCCATCCTATTTATAGGGGTTTTAATTGTCCTACGAGGCCATCGTAGGAGACACCCATTCTGTGGCAGAGCCTGAATCACCCTGGACCCAGCCCAGCTCAGCCCAGCTTGGCTTCTCCCTCTACAAACCGTTTAGTTTATTTACTTCCCCCACTTGCTCATGAACTTGTTTGTCATTAGATTAGGTGACACGGTCCAAGTCCCAGCCCCATTTAATTAGGGGAGTATGCGTGTGCATGCGTGCTGTGGGGGTCCAAAAAGACAGAGATGTTCCTTAAGATGTGTCACTCACCAAGACTAATGGAGGACAATAGTCAAAGAAGATTAGCAATATGTTCATGTTACAAAAATCCGTCAATGTAGGGACTAGAGATTCTGGGTATATGGCCAGGTTATAATTCTTGGAAGAGATTTGTCCTAGGCTAATGTCTTGCTTGTGTGTATTGTATGTGTATTTTAATCTATTGACCTATTTTGAATTAAAAAATTTTTTTAACAGCTCTGCAGGCTAGTGGGGGCAGTAGACACATGACTGATTGGGGGGAGGAGGGCTGTGATGATGGTATTGCTATCATCACTTGAACCTTTTAAGGTTTTATGAAAAAGTTAGAGTTTAGCTAAACCGGTTTGGTTCAGTGGATAGAGCGTTGGCCTGCGGACTGAAGGGTCCCAGGTTCGATTCCGGTCAAGGGCATGTACCTTGGTTGCGGGCACATCCCCAGTGGGAGGTGTGCGGGAGGCAGCTGGTCGATGTTTCTCTCTCATTGATGTTTCTAACTCTCTATCCCTCTCCCTTCCTCTCTGTAAAAAAAAAAAAAAAGTTAGAGTTTAGCACCTGGCCAGCATGGCTCAGTGGTTGAGCGTCAACCTATGAACCAGGAGGTCCCAATCAGGGCACATGCCTGGGTTGTGGGCCCCAGTGTGGGGCATGCCGGAGGCAGCCGATTAATACTTCTCTCTCATCATTGATATTTCTATCTCTCTCCCCCTTTCCCATGCTCTCTGAAATCAATAATGCATATTTTTTAAAAAGTTAGAGTTTAGGAACAACATGGGAGCTTATGCTATTTGTGAGTAGAGATGCGGTCAGAGACCTGGGCCTCCAGTCATTCTCCACCTCTGCACCTGTGACATGCACCAGTGTCTTAAGCATAGGAGAGTCAAAGTAAGTCTTGGTGGAGTAAGTGAATTATTGGTTAGGAAAGCATTTGGAAATTTTGTGTAAAATGCAAAAAATTCTAGATTTGCTATACTTTCTATTTTTGTTTCTGGTTATACTTTTTTCTATGTAGCCATCCATCAACCAGTTAGTAGTGTTTGGGATTCTGCAAGGGAATCACAAAAGTGCAGGGAGATTTTAATCCAGTTGGAGTAAAGAAGCTTTATGTAGAAGAAAGATTTTGAATGACAGGGACAGAACACTAGGAGTGTTCAGTGTTGGAAAACCTGGGTATGTATGGAGTGTTCATACAAACCCAGGGGCTGGGCCCAGACTTCCCTTAGAAGGTGGGATTTGTATTGATCCCTGAGGGATTCAGGTGGCAGAAAGGAAAGAAGAGAAATTCTGGTGGGGAGAAGGGAAAGACCAAAGAGACAAAGGTGAGAATTTACAGGGTGTGTTTGGATTAGAGTGAGTTGGTAAGTCTGGCTGGAGCAGAGGGTGTACAGGAGAATAGAAATAGAAAATTTTTCAGCTGAAAACAAAATCTAGTCTTAGCCTCCTAATTTTACAGACGAGGAAACTGAATCCCAGCGAGATTGAGTGATTGCCAGGCGTCCGACAGGGTTATGACTAAAGCCAGGCCTAGAACCCTTGTCCCTTTACCCGATCCCACCATGCTTTCTTATAAATTCTCTGAGGCAGACTTGCAGTCTGCTTTAGGGTTTATTTTAATGAGAAATGTGAAACAGGGAACATTTTGGTCAGGAAAGTGACATGATAAAAGCATTGTTTGGGGCAAGATTTTGATCTGACTGCAGTAAGGTGGCCAGCTGTCTCAGTTGGGACTGAGGAGCTACCCGGAGGTGAGACCTTCAGAGCGAAAACTGGGAGGATTCTGGGCAACTCGGGACAAACTGGTCACCCCAGACTGTGGAGTATAAGATGAATGGGAAAGAGCCCTGTCTGGGCAGGGAGGCCTGTTAGGAGTCTCTTGTACGGCCACGTGGGGACTGTGGATGCAGCAGTTCATAACTGTAGGAAGGTGCTGGGTGATAGAGGAGAAGAAAGGATGGAGTTGGGGACAGATTCGATGAGGGGCAGGGAAGGGGAGAAGTCAGGTGAGACTCCAAGGCTTTAAGCCTAGGAAACTAGGAGAGCTGCGGTGTACTGAAGAAATGAGACTCCTGAGGGCTCTATGGAGTCTGAGGTTCAGCACCCCACTCCCCTCTCCCCTCCCCCCCACTGGCACTCCACAGGGTGTCTGCCTTTGGGATCTTGTCACCTTCCTGCCAGTTTGCACCCAATGCTGTTTGGGGTCTCCCAGCACTGGGCAGGCCTTGCTAAGATGTGTTTATACATCCTGAGAGCTGGTCATGCTGAGATTCTATTTCTGCTTTTGTATCTCGACCTATGAGAGCTGTTTAGTTATGCCTCTTTTCATCTATTAGAACTAAAAACCAAGAGAAGGGTTGGTGACTCCAGGGACCAATAAGGGGAGTGAAAGTGGGTGGGTAGTGGGTAGAAAGCAGCGAAGTGGGGGGCTCCTTTCTGTGGACGTCTCTCAGGGCTCCCTAGCAGCTGTTTCGTCAGGTTCAAGGGGCAGGCAGTTCTCTGCCTGATGCTGCAGTGGAGAGGAGGATCATGTTCTTAGGAGGCGGGTCTGTTACATATGCCTTCATTAAACACTCAGGAAGTTCCTATAGGACAAGCAGAGAACTGTGTGTATTGCTCAGTTAATCAGTAGAGAGTTGTGCGCTTTGAGCACCATTCCTAAGGCACTGAGATAAAGGCACAGTCCTTGTGCTTAGGGGCTTTCATTCTCCTGGGAGGTAGGCTACCCAGGTTCCTTTTCTATAGTTCAAACCCTGCTCTCATTGCTAGGATTTTGAGAGGGACTGATTAGAGGGAAGAAGGGAAGGATCCAGGAGCTAAAAATAATACATATTTAAAGAAATTATGAAACATACTGGGTAATTTTGGGTCAATTGCTAAGCCTCTTGGCCTTGAGTTTCTTCATCTATAAAAGGGAGGGTTGGACTGAACGCTAAGCTTTTTTTTCAAAAAAAGAAAATAAATTTTTATTGATTTCGGAGAGGAAGGGAGAGGGAGAGAGAGATAGAAACATCAATGATGAGAGAGAATCATTGATCGGCTGCCTCCTGCATGCCCCACACTGGGGATCGAGGCTGCATGTACCCTGACCAGGAATTTAACTGTGACCTCTGGTTCATAGGTTGACGCTCAACCACTGAGCCATGCTGGCTGGGCGAAGATTTTTTATTTTTATTTTGGCATTAACATGCTAAGATTCTGCAATTCCAACCTTATGTCAGCAGGAGCTTTCGAGGATATATTATAACTGCTCTATTCAAGAATTTGATAAAGGCCTCATAACTTTGTGCTCCTCAGTCTTCCTTTGTGGGGAACAGGAGGACAATAATGGGTATCCTGTTACGCAGCATTTTGAAGCCCTGGGCTGTGTTTTTCGGCTTTTATTTGCATTCATGTTAGAATGTAGCTTTGTGGTCACAAAGGCTAGATGTTTTTAAGCTACAATTTATTGATCTTACTATGTAGGGTAGGCTGTGTGTTAAGCATTTTACATACTATGTTATCTTGTTTAAGTCCCACAACAACTTCGGGAGGCAGGCAATATTATTGTCAATTTTCTAACAAGGAAACTGAGGTTTAGAGAAAGATAAGTAGCTTGCTCAAGGTCATGTTGCTTGGCACAGCTGCTGGGGTTTGAATCTACAACTTCCTGATTCCAAAGCCCTTGTTTGCAACCCCTATGTTACACCATCCCCTTTGGAACAGGACTGGTGATCGCCCACTTCCCAATGAGAGAAATAGCTTTTCACAAAGGCTGACATGAGTAAGAACGAAATAACTTCCTAATGACAGTCAGTGAAGGAATCCAGCCTTGAAATGAGAACCTCCCGGTGCATAAGCTGTCAAATATTTATTATTTTCCTGTGCTTCTCCAGTATCTAAATGGTTCCAATACTGAAGGTGCTTGTAATCTATTTGGGGAGACCAGACAGATGCTTATATTTATACTAGAGGCCCAGTACATGGATTCGTGTACCGGTGGGGTCCCTCAGCCTGGCCTGCAGGGATCAGGCCGAAACCAGCAGTCTGACATCCCCCGAGGGGTCCTGGAGTGGGAGAGGGCACTCTGCAAAGTTGCTGTTGCTCAGCAGCTCCTGCGTTGAGCGTCTGCCCCCTGGTGGTCAGTGTGCGTCATAGATACCAGCTGGTTGGCTGGTCGCTTAGGCTTTTATATATATATATATAAATATGAAAAACAAGAAAAGCAACCTATGTAGAAAATGTACCCTTCTGTTTTTGCAATGGATAGAATGTGATTGAAGATGTCCTCTTATTGCCCATTTCTTTGGTTCTTGATTCTTGCAAACCTTTGTTGTCCACTTTCCTTGGGTGCAGATGTGCCCAGTGGGTACGGCAGGTACTATTTTACCGAATGGAGTTTTCAGGGAGTCTCCCTGTCAAATTTTGATTAAGGATAATGATCATGGAATTCTTCGATTTCCTTTTCCTTCCGTGGAGATGTTGGGTGGCTATTTGGTGAGAGGAAATCCATAGGAACCAGAGGGTGGCTGAGTGTTTGTAGTATAAGGGAGGCCCCGTGTAACCCAGGCTGGCTCTCCACTCCTGCTTAGCCCTCTGGCATGAAGCAGGTAGATAAACTACAGATGGAGCAAATGACCACCTTGCCCTGGAGAGGAGTGGGCCTAATTAATAGACATAAAACTCTTTGAGATTTGTTGATATTGAAAGGTCATTTATTATC